CCTGCAAGCGGCTCAGATGATAAGCCTCACTCCAGACAGAAGCGAATACTTTGGATCACCAACGACGGGCGCCTCGCCCTACCACCAGGCACCGCCATGGTCATCACACCGTCGCTGTCCCTGCCTTTCGTGCGCTACCCACCAGATGGCTTCTTGTCAAACATGTCCATCAGTTTGCCATTTACAAGTATGTGACCATAGCTGAATGTCTGAAATTCTGAAGAACATGGAGCAGAGTCCTTCAAAAGTTAACAGTCGCCCACCTACTCAAGAAATTCCTATCCTTTTACGAAACCAGAAGGTACATTATCGACGACAACCCACAAAGGATATGAACCCCTTATTAAAACAATGAAGTGTTAGTGTATTCCATTCAAACTGAATAGTTGTGTGGCTAGGAATGTAATCACTCATTTTTCAAAGTGAACTGTTACGTAATATCGCCATTCTGTTCACTACGTAGAGACCTCAGCATGAAAAATGGTGAGATAATCACCGTCATTTGTGAGGGTATAACCTACATGTACAGTGCGTCCACTGACAAGGAAAAACGCAACTGTCACTTTCTGGATTCCGACAGAAACTGTATGACGTGCCACTAGATTTCCCCGACACGGTTCAAGCATCGCTACTTCCAACAACCTATCTTATAAGATTTGCTTAAAACGGTCCATGTTCAAGTACACATCCTACATACCGTTTAGATTGAAATTACGCGATAAAGAGGATCTTCGTGGTACGTACTGTTTGGGAGAAAACCTGTCCGTGCAAATTAAACCAAGCTTCATGAGAATAAAATGACGGACAACTTCACCGTCATTAAGTGAACGCAAAAATCGGTTGCAGAAATTAATCCTGGTAGCCGCGTCACGTGTTTGTAAATAGATAATATTGTATAAAACAGAACTAACTCCATGGAGTCCTGCTTATGACGCCAATAGTTCATCGGCCAGTTAGGCATTTTTACGCCTTTTAGGAAACATGTAGGTTTATTACCGTGTTCAGAGAACACTGGTCCCTGCTCTAAGCCATATACGTGACCTAATTTAAGATACTATCCCGGTATTTGTCTGGAGGGACTGAGAAAAACCACGAAAATCACAGTCAGGATAGTCGGTCTCCAGGCTGAGATATTAACCCGGGACCTCCCGAATACGAAGCAGGGTGCCCTCTGTATCAAATTGAATAAGAATTCCTTCAGTATCGGAAATGAAGATTATGAACGAGAGACATGACCATATAAAAGTGTATTAATTTTATGCATTTCGTGCAAAGAACGCATATATATGTTTTCTTCCATGCATAGGCCAATTTCCTGTTACAGTTGACTTCGACAAGCTCGGTCTGACAGACAACGAGAATCCTTATGGCGTAGTACCACCTGTCCTAGCTCGCAGTATGGGCAGAATGTCCGGTATCCTGCTGGCCGACTACATTGGCCAGATTTTGGATCGCAGGAGACACTCCAGAGCAGCACCCCCACCCCCACAACCACCATTTGCAAATTTCCACGGAGGGGAAAGGTAAGACCAGAGGCCTACCAAATATTCACACCTTCTTACGGTCTGGAGTCTGCACGGAGACTGAATGCAAATACGTCCTGAGTGTCAACCGTAACAGTACGGAATGTGTCAGATAACAGAGATAGAAACAGTCTCTGAAATATTGGGGGCTGATTCCATAATTATACAACTGATAGATCAAGCATGCGCAATACCGCTCTGGGTTAAAAATGTAGAAGTTGATAACAGCGTAGAATTTCAGATGTTGCTGTTTTTTATAAACGAAACACGATTTTCCGGTCCAACTTACATCACAGCTCGGCGGTGTGTGGATCTGATGCGTTCAGTGGCAGAATAATTTCAAAAGAAATAATGCCTTCGAGGTTTCCTGACCTCTTACCCCGTGATTACTATTTGCGGGGACATCAAAAGAGAAGTGTACAAATTAATTCCTCACACTTTCCAAGAATTCATTTAAGTCATCAATAAAGTCATCCAAAATACCTCCCAACTTGATGTGTGAAGTGTTTTTAAGAACAAAATATAACGCGTGGATATAGCCTACGTGTCAACAAGGTCATGTAGACCATTTACATTTACTGTATATACCTTCTCCCCGAAACCGGGAAATATGCAGGATTAGAGCGAACAAGGTAAATAAAAATGTTCTCCAAGAGAAAGCAGATTTCAATTTTTGATCACTTTGCATCAAACGCCTGATAACAAGTTCGAAATTTGTGGTTACTAAATTTAAACCCTGAAAACCAGTCATAACATTTGCAATAATAAGATATGCCATGACATAAGAGGGCCATGACATAATATCGTGGGGCGGAGCGCCGAACTTTGGATTCTGGAGACCTATAGTAAAATAAAGTGCTTTACTTACCATGACTACTTGAAGAATCCCCATTTTGCAGATCATCATAACTTGCATTTTTGGCACTTAAAACTCACACTTACTGCAGTCCACTCTTTTTGTCTTCTTGTCTTTGTAACACTCCAACATGTTGGTGCCTGTGTTCACTTCACATCAGTACTCAGACACTCACTGTAGTCCACTCTTTTGGCTTGTCTTTGTAATACTTCCGATTGGAGCCACTTTTCCTTTAAGAGGTTATGTTACGTATGCAAAACACTGGTAACACAACCTGAAGGTTCAACACCATTAACACCAAAGCCCAGCACTGAACATGATCCTGAGCCAGTTCTATCTACATCCGACCCTCCCGTCTCGTCATTCTCCTAAAAGTTTTCCCATAAAAAAAGTTGCATGCATTCCTTCTCTCTCTCCCATCTTAATTGCATGCCCATAAAATCACAGCCTCAATGCCACCATTCTGAGAATGCTAAGAGACCTGCATAAATCACATTATTCTCCACCACATATAGTCCTACATTGCTCATTTACTTCTTCTTTTATAGGTCCAAATGTTTTCTTTAGCATTTTCTTTTCCAAAATTAATAATTTGTGTTCTTCCTTCAGTGCTAGACCACTGAATAATAACAAATCACTTTCAGAACTTATTCTGCCACATAATATTATAGCAACATATATTTAATAATTTTAATTTACATATAAAAGAATAATTTTTATGTTTAGAATTGTTCCCACACACATTTCGATATATTTTCAAACAATTTATTGCATATAAATAGTTGTGCTAAGTCTTTCTTACTGATTTTGGTTTCATGTTGTGTTTGTATTTAGTTCTATCTATGTTTACTTCCAAACCAATATTTGAATTAACTGGAGTGGATTACTCTACTGAAGGCCACACATATTTTAAATGTGTTCCATGTGACTTTGTAGTCACTTCAGGGTTCACAGGAGCTTGCCACTAGACTCAATCTTGAGCCACACAAATCCATTCTACAACCTTACATTCTACTTCTTTACACTCCATCTTAATATTAGTATCGGAACTAAAACATCTGCAACATGAAATGGTCCATAACAAAGCTCATTAGCTGGTGTGGAGGTTAGGTGCTGCAACTATTTCTTTGTCACTCTTACTCCAGCCACCAACTTGATAAAACATTTCCATAGAGTAAAATAATTCTGCTGTATTTGACAACCCAGTCCCTTTTGCAAGTAAAGAAAGCTGGTATAATAGTGCAACTCAAACAAGCAAACAGCTGTTTAAATAACAAAAACATACAACAATCTTCCATTATATAGTCCTACAATTTAAAATGTCCTCTCAGGTGCTATATTTAGAATAAATGTAGTACAATTTGGCCTACTCATAAAGACTGCCTTCAAGGACACAACTTTCATTTGTAATCGTGTTCCCATAATATTCCTATTTAACTTAATGCTATATAACTACTGCATTTGAAACAGCATCATTACATAACAAAAGAATTTATATATCCACATTTCTGCTCTCACGCTTTCATCTAAATATATAAATGCAGTTGATTTATCAAATGTTATCTGAATTTTATATTTAGGCTTCTCAACCTTTAACATTTTAAGTTACTTTCAAAACAGTAACTAGGAGTCACAAGGAGAAACAATAAAGATTCTGGACTCACTTGGACAACCCTAGATCTACCAAAATCATGGATTTTTTTCTTAATTTTTATACAATTCCCATGTCTATACAAATATTTTCCTGTAACATTCAGCACGTCTAAACATAATTCCTGGAGTTTGACTCAAACATAACCTGTCCTGCAGGAACGCACATGAAATTCTGAGAGCGTTTTCACAATTCAGTGCACCGTATTCCTCGTGGTGTCTTGAGAGAGATCAAGGTGTGAAAACTATCAACCGACCAATATGCAAATAAATCAATGTATGTGGTTTAATAGAGAAAATACTATAATACTGCTTTATGGTGGCCACTAGCATGAAAAAAATGGGGGAGGTTAAAGCGAAGCCATGATCCAGGCAAGTTTTCCAATTAGTAGCATCAGAAGATATGGGCAGTACAGTGATAATAACTATGCTATTAACTGATGTACTGATTAGGATATTTACTGTACGTCTCACATTTGGCTGTGAACAATTTCACATTATACTTTCATCACTACAACTATCATCGTGTTGAACTTTAAACATTCGCTCAATCATACACACATTAATTAAGTTAAGTGGTTTATTTAACAATGCTGTCAGTAACTCAAAATATATGGAATCAATCCACTGGATGTTTGTGAACAATTTACTGAAAAGAATGTAGAAAGAAGCAGTCTTGGTCTACCTGCAATTTGTCTGGAGGGACTGAAGAAAACCACAACAACCTCAGTCAGGATAGACAGTCTTCAGGCTGAGATTTTAACTTGGGACCTCCACAATAACAAGCATCAGTGCTACCACACACACAGACTTCAGCATACTAGCCAACACACTCCAAAAGAGGAAAGCTTCTAACAGGTTTTCAGTTTAGCCAAAACTAAGCAGCCTCCATAAACTGCTAGGGCAGTATCATATGCAGTTTGGTGACGTCACCATAACAAGATTGGGTAGCCAATTTCTTCATCCAAATCCATACACTAGAGTACTTTTTGGGATGTCACTCACTAGTCAAGACTCCCTCCCCCAAAATTTGTGGAACCCAGAGGTTGTCAAAGGAGCCTTCCACCGAACCCATACCTGAGCCAGTTGAAACCAGTTTCAAAATTATCCTCCTATCTATGGCTAGGTCTCCCATCATGGTACCCTAATATTTAGTGAAGACTAAAAGTAGACTACTTTAATCTAACCGCAAAAACAATTCACCAATAACTCTTAATTGATGGCCACCATTCTACACACCTCCCACCAGGGATGTTAAAATGCAATGTGCGGATGAACTTATAACAGGATGAGTACCATTTTTGCTGTTTTTCTCTAAATGTGTTTAACGACGGTGTTCCAATTTATCTGTTTTGGACGTATCTATCGTAAAACCATTAAAATTACCAACACGCAACGTTTCGAAAGGCTGTTTCGGCTTCAAGCGTGTCACAGACACAAAATAGCTGAACAGGTGAACCCATCGGCTTCAACTGAACAGGTGCTGCCCCCAATCTTACATCTGAAGACGAAGAACAGTCATCCTTCGAAATGTTATGTTTTTATAATATTAATCAACTGACAATGGATGAAGTCCAAAACAAAACAAAATACCAATACTGCTTTTCATAAATGCTTAAAGTTTCCAGGTTCCTTGTTCCAAACCGTCAAAGAGATTAAACCTATAAACAGATTCTGGCTGCCAGAATTACAACTGCAGTATTCTGCACTTTGAATGAAGTCATAATTGTTTTTTTATTCTCTTTGGAAAACATCCTGTCGTACGTCAACACAATTCAAGGCCATACACAATTACATCATACATCACGTGATATGTGGCAAGGCTTTACTTGCTAAGACTACACAGCCATCAGCCGAAATAGCTCAGTTGGGAGAGCGTTAGACTGAAGATCTAAAGGTCCCTGGTTCGATCCCGGGTTTCGGCAATTAATTTTTTTTTATTAAATAAAAATTAATTTTGACAAAAGTTGTTCGAAATGTAAATATGTGCTGCTGCATCTTTTTGAAGTAAATACGTCTATACGGAACGGTCATTCGGCAAAAAAATGGAACGAAAATGTGTAAGATCCGTATCAACAATTCGACAATAATGGTTACCTAGGGAACGTCGTGTTTACTCGGCATTGTTATGTTACATTACTGCCGTCAACAATCCGCTTTCGTTATTGCGGAAAGAGCTGAGCTGTGAATCGGTTGTAGAAGAAGTGCGTCGTAGACTAGATAATTTTGACATTACATTTCCTTACATACATTACATTCAGCTACCGTCCTTTCATTGTATTTATTGCTTAAATATAATTTAAATACAGAGACGTATTTACGTCAGATTCTCCGGAACCGTGGTTCCACTGTCAATTTTTTCTTTGTTAAGGAATGATGGTTGGTCATCATTTGCCGTTGGTAAGGGGACTTGGGCCTTACTCTCTGGTGCAGGATATTGTTTGAAAAATCGATTGTACATTCGGCATGTCAAACAATAGCCCACATTCTTTATGGAACCCGGGGGTTCATCACCGTGTTCACAAAGGCCCGCCAACGGACTGTCCTGAGGTTGTTGTATTCAGTCCGTTCCATCGATTCCCAACTCCAATTTTATCGTTGTCCTCCCACCTGCGCCTGGTCTTCCCAGCGGTCTCCTCCCAACCAATACATTGTACAGTGTAAGACTGCATTCTTGATAATTGCGGGGTGAAGGAGGAAAGATAGCGTCTGCCTTTAACACTTCCGACTTCCTGAATTCCTTGAAAGTCTCAAGATTACAGTCGCGTACTATAGACACACACCCCTCCCCCATGCGTGCCGCATGTCCCGCCCACCTCATCCGCTTTGATTTACTCACCCTTATAAAATCAAGTGAGTACAGGTCGTGAAGCTCATTATGCAAATTTCTCCATGATCCGTCTCCCTCCGTTTTAGGTCCAAATATGTTCTCAAAGGCCCTCAACCAGAGACCAAGTTTTGCAATGGCAAAATTACACTTTTGTATATTTTAATCTTTAATTTTCTGATACGAGATGGGAGGACAAAAATTGTGGATTGAATGATAGCAAGTATTCCCTTAAATTTACCTGTTCCTGCTTTCGTCAAGAATGTCATTCTGACTTGTTCGTCGTTATGTGGTAATACACAGTGCGGCAGCTGGAAAACGGGACTGGTGTTATGAGGCATGAACTGGTGCTGCCATCTACCAGAAGTGAATATGAATCCAAAGAGGGATTGTTCCTAGAGTGCTACACTGAAGGTCATCTTACATTGCCGCCATTTGTGAGCGTAGTGTGAGCGGAAGTAGACGTCTGTCTTGGGTGTGTTGTGAAGCAAGAATGGAACAAAGAGCGAACATCAAATTTTGTGTTCGGCTGGGCAAAAATGCCACGGAAACGTTTCGAATGATGAAGCAAGTGTACGGAGATAATTGTCTGTCTCGTACACGTGTTTTTGAGTGGCATAACCGTTTCCGCCATGGAAGAGAATCATTGGAAGACGATGAACATCCTGGCCCAGCAAAAACGATTCGAACACCAGAGTTGATTGAAATGGTGCGAGAAATAATCACCAACGACCGATGTGCAACGCTTCGAATGATTTCAGAGGATCTGTGCGTTAATAAGGAAACCATTCGACAAATAATAACTCAGGATTTGAAAGAAAGAAAAAAAGGTCTGTGCGCGGTTTGTTCCACATTCATTAACAGACGATCAACAACTGCTCCGAGTTGTAGTTACTGCTGCCTACTATCTGGACATTTTGAAACGTTCGCTTCAGAGAATCCGTCGTGTACGGCCTCAGTATCGAGAAGATGGCAGTTGGTTCCTGTTGCAAGACAAAGCGCCAAGCCATAAGGCTCTCATTGTTAGGGAGTTTTTGGCCACCAAAAAAGTCTGTGTATTGTCGCATCCACCGTATTCACCAGACTTAGCACCGTGTGACTTCTTTTTGTTTCCAAAACTCAAAGCACAACTGAAAGGCTGATATTTTGATGACGTTGACACCATTCAAAGGGCTGTAACGAGAGTACTGAACAGAATTCCAGACACGGCCATCCGCCATTCCTCCCAGTTGCTTCATGATCGTTGTATGCAGTGTGTAGATGCAGGAGGAAGCTACTTTGAATAAACAATGCTCATACATGGAACCATTATTTTTTTCCAGCATCAGTCCCGTTTTCCAGTTGCCGCACTGTGTATTTACGCTTGTCCTTTGAGTTTTGCTGCTGGTTAAATGCGTAGCTTCGGCTTTCGGGTGAGCCAAAGTTGGGCAATATTTACGCTGATGGCCGTCTTCTGGATTGTAGCACCGTGTATCTGATACAATTTTACCGTCGTTTCAGAGGTGCTTGCTGCCTCGATCATCAGGGCCTCTGAAACGTCTTTAAACTACACAGTGATACAACCAATAAGAGAGCTAAGAGAATATGGATATTATATCCGGTATCATGGCAATATCTACTATGGACAGTTGTTATAATTTCCGTACAAAATCATGAGAGACTACAGAACATGAAATTGTATTATATATTTCTTTGGTACAGTCATATACTACCTTGTGGAAACAAATGACTGTTCACTCATCCATGGCTAGCACAAAGGTATATTTGATACTCTAGGAGAAGCAACCACGAAACCTCCAAATATGATAGAGTATGGAAATGTGTTTGGTTTGAATACTTATTTCCTGTACTTTTATGTTTTCACAGGGCACTTCTGTATATTGTGGTGGAAGATTTGCTTGCAAATTTTGGTATGGATGGTAAAGCTTGTCTTCTGAGAGCCATATGTGAAGTGCATGGCCAATCCTTGCATCACTTTGGTCTAATTGGAGAAATTGTAAAACTCTTCTTCACGTAAGTCTCAACTGTGATTTAAACATTAGCATGTCTTCATTAAAAGTCATGTGATCTGCCACATTTTACACATGACTTAGTACAGCCTGCAGTTTAAACACCACTACTACTATCAGAACCCACTACCCCACATGAAACTAAGCCACTGCTACCTTCCATCTTCACATCCCACACCAATCTCCTCAGTTTTTCAAGAATTCCCCACCAAAACTCTAGTACGAATTTCCTGTCCCTCATCACAGTACATAACCAGACAATTTTAACTTTACTGATTTCAGTATCCCAACAACGCTAAGAGAGCTGTTTAAATTGCAAAGTTTATAAATTACTTGCTTCATCCCTCATGGGACCAAATATTTTCCCTGAAGGGCTAGTTTTCAAGCTCTTGTTATTTCCACTCTTCAAAGTAAGACACCAGAACCTTACAAAACTGGTAAAATTAACATACAAATAAAACTTGTTACTTCTTCTAGCAGTTTCAATTTTATGCAAGTCAATGGACAAAAAATTGCCTTTTTTGTATAGACTTTCCTTTTTGAGTTCTTGACCGTGCTCCCAAAGTCTGATCCCAGTACCCATACGGCAGGAAGTTGAGGACTGATTCTTGGTGTGATGGCCACGGAAGCTTAGAAGACCCAGCAATGCAATAGTGGACAATAAAAATGCTTTAAAAACAACAAAAAGTCTCAGAAGGGAGGACAAAGTTAAAAGACAACAATCCATTACCTGCTTTTGTATTAGATGGTAATAAATTATTACTATGAAAGTACATACACGGTTATGACCTGACTGATGTCCTGTATTTGTACTCGTCTTAATTCAGCAAAACTTCAACTGTAAGACCATTAAATATGTAACACAAAAGTCATTACAGTCAATAGAAAAGCATATACAGATTCTTGCAGTTAAACAGAAGTTTCAAATTTGAAGAGGCTTTGAATTATACACAGTTATCATCTGGAACAGTCAGAAAAATATAAATTTCATTTATGCCGTGAGGTGTATAAAAATCCAAATAAATTTACTCATTTTTCACTAATTCTTTCTGAGACCTATGTATTTCCTAGCAATGGAATGATACGTAAACCTACTACACACCTCAGGGTAGTGACATGTTAACGGAGCATTGCTGGAATGCTAACAGGCAGGGGGAAATCAACGTACTGAGATAAGAACCTGCCCTAATGCCACCAGCAAATGCAAAGACTGAATTGGACCCAGTGAAAAATAGTTGTCTACAGCACAATGCACATTAAAATACGTTGTAGCAGATTTTATTTTGGTCTTACTGATCCACTGTAACTCCTAGTTTGCAAGGTCCAATAATAATTTGTAGAATTTCTTAAATGCTTTTCTGTCATATCAAAATTTGGTATGATATAAAATATGTTCCTCATTAGGATCTATACCTCCTATTCAAAGCATTAAAATATTGTAACATAATCATAGATCACAGTGAGTTCTTACTCAAGGTGGATTTATTGCACACTAATAAAGGTGCAATCAATTAATCACATTTACTGTGTCTGAAAGCGAGCCGGGATAGCTCAGTCAGTCTAGTGACTAGCTACGGACTGGACGACCGGGGTTCGATCCCCGACGGGGGCAGAGGATTTTTCCTCTAGCCTCTGCATCCAGACCGTCTCTGGGGCCCACTCAGCCTCCTCTACAATGGGTACCGGGGTCCTTTCCCGGGGGTAAAGCCGGCCGGGGCGTGATGCTGACCACTCACCCCCATCTAGTGCCGAGGTCAAGGAAGAGAGGAGCTATACCTCCACTCACCCCAAGCGCCTGTATGGCACGTAGCGAGACAAACTTTACTTTACTGTGTCAGAAAGCACCGAAGGAACACACCGGGAATATTTGCCCTCTGCTAGTTTTCCTTTTTGTCATCAAGTCTATCTCTGAATCACACATGCAGATTCTGACATTCAAATTATTCCTTCACTGGTTGGGTATCCACTGTTTGCACAGCTATTTCAGTACTGGCTTGGACCACTTATTTAGTACTCGTGGTCTCGCTGGTCACCACCTCAACGACACTATTCCACCACTGACTACAAGCACCTTGATGCACTTAGTTCTGCTGTACTGAATTGCTTCTCACTTTAACTCTCACTGCCCTTTGCAGGAGTTCATGCTTATATGGGTTCATTCATCATTTTTAAAAATACATTAGTCAACAACAGTTTATTAAAATTTATTCCAAGTAATGTGAATTGAAAGAAAAGTGTTCGCAATTATCGAGAAATATTATAACAAAGTTACTTCTTAAAAATAACACATCAGATACTGTCCATTAGGATTGATGCACTCAATTCATAACACTTTCCATTATGTGTAGTAACATGGCCAGTGATAGTCCCACACAGTAGCCGCGCAGTCTGAGGCATCATGCTTCGGACCTGTGATATGGAATGCGCGCTGGTTCGCGTCTCGGGGAAAGAAATTTCTCATGAGATTTTCGACTGGTGTATGGGACCGGTGCCAACCCAGCATCGTGAGGAAATTGGGGAGCTACAATGAGTAGCGTAATCCAGTCATGAAAACCAGCAATGGCTGGGGGTTCGTCGTACTGACCACATGTCACCCTATATCTGGTTGGATGATCGTTCACCTCTGCTTAGGCATGTGAACGTGAGGCCAGCAGTGGGCTTTGGCTCTCTGGAGCTGTTACGCCACAGATTTAATTTTAATGGCCAGTGATAGGGCATTAATTTCTTCATTAGTTCTCTGTTTGAGATTATTTAAGTCTATTGGGTGTGTTGTAAACACTTTGCTTTTCATGTAGCCCCATAAAAAGAAATCAGAAGCTAACAGATCAGGTGAACAGGCTGGCCAATAAATGTAGCCATAGCAGGAAATTATTCAATGTACAGACACAATCCTTAAAGTGTTCAACTGCCAGGCAGTAATTTCTGAAGAAATAGGTCTTATAAATCAAGTACATCAGACATGTGTTATATTTAAGAAGTAACTCTGTTATAATGTTCCTCGACAACGGTAAACACTTGTCTTTCAATTCGCATTACTTTGGATAACCTTTGGTCAACGAACACATCTTTAAAAATGATGAATGCTGTCCCATCCTGTAAAAGGATGTGAAATAAATCTGGTTAGCTGTGGAGTACCTGACACAATTCTGGTGCACACAACATTTCTAGAAGTTACGAGTAATTACATGTATTCAGTCACGATGTAACAAGCAGGCTATGTGGGAGGCAGAGAGGGGATGGAAGGGTGGCCAGTACCCTTAGTAATCAGGATCCTGTAACAATTCAAAAATTAATTTCTGTTGCTCCATGTGATAACTCTTTCACACAAGCAAATTCAATCTTCTTCAAAGTTCTTAATTTCATTACCATATAATGCATACACCTTTTTCCTCCAGACTTGGATGGTTTGGGTTTAAATTAAACTGGTCTTCCCATGTACGTCTCTCTGCATCTTTTACCCTGGGAGCATGTGTAAGAAATGTGATTCTTCAGATCTCGTCTTCTCACTTTCACTTTGTTCACGTTGTCTACAATCTAACTAAAGATATTTTATCTCAACAGCATTTGTTGTTTGCAATTTGCTTATGTACTCAGTAGTTCATCTTTGAATGTTACTTCCAAAAATCTAAAATATCTCATGTACACGCAGTTTCTGTACTTTGTCATAACCTATGTTTCATTTACAAAAAATAAGATCAGTGTACTCTTAGTACAATATTTCTTCTCATTTGGTTTTGAAATATGTATCCATTTCTGTATTTATGTATATTTATTTATCAAAGTTTTTATTTAAATGATTAGATACAGTATTTTAAACCCAAGAGATTTTTGTTCCATTTTATAAAAATTGTAACTAATCACGAGTTACAAAGATACATGATGATTGTTATTAGGGCAAGCAAGTCTCCATTTGCCAACATATTGGAGGAGTACGTACATGCAGAGCGAGCAGGACAGGAGAATGGTCATGGCGAGTGTTGGCGCTATTACAAGGCTTGTCCCAAATCACTCTTCGCGTCTTCACAAGAGAATAAGTACTTGTAAGTAACATTATCAGCTTTTTACAGTAAAGTAAAGCAGAGACCAGTGTTCATTACATTACCTTACATGTGAAGGAATACAAATACTACCAACAATTTCATGACACAGTATCAAAGTGACCCTGAAGGACGAGGTGCCAGGTTCCTCCAAAATGTTAGTACACTTTTAGTTCTTGACATGGTGCTAAACCCAAGGGACAATGCAATGACGGAGCACAATATTGTTGTTTCAGGAAAGAAGCAACTGATCATAAGCAAGAAGATCAATTCTTGCAAGAAGGTGATGAACAACCAAAATCAAGGACATCAAAAGTAACATTAGATTCGTCTGATATATCTGCCAAAGCAATGTAACAGTGCTCAATTTCATGTGTATGTGAATGTGTGTGTGCCTGACGGGTAATGCTCAAATAAGGGTTATTGATGAAGGGAAAAACTAAATAGAAAATGCGGTCTGCCCAGAGGGATGGGCAAGCGGTATCAAGGTCAATCTTCTCCAGAGCAGTGAAGAGGGGCAAGTGTGTGTGGTAAAAATGTGAGACCAGAGGTGAAGAAAGTACCATAGTAGTTTTTACTTTATAGATTCCTAGTTGCTCTGTAGTGTGTCACTTATGAGACAAAATGATTTATATTTCGAAGGACATGGATTACAAACCTTCATGGCCTGTTTGGTCCAGACATTCAGGAGTACAAACAGTTTCGTAAAGGACCTTGCCATACAATTACAGCAATATCATCTTTCACAATTCAAGGTAACAGTTGGTTATAGGAAGAACTTGGTAATCTGCGAGTTGGACATATGCAACATTCTGGAAAATAAGTGCCCAAGCTATACAGTATTAAAATCAGAGCATATATTCACAAACCTTTCCAGACAACAGTGTACTTAACTGATCAACAAATGTCTAACGAAGCTACGAGAAGACCAAGAACCTGCTTTCACTTGTCTGGACCTAGAATAAACAAACAACGGTCATCTGCTTGCCAAAAACAAGGCTTGAATAAATATATGCAAATACAATAAGTGGATTAAAATATTTTAAAGTTAAACTCATCATACCAGCACCAACATTCTCTTGCTATCAAGAGTCACACATCTGTATTCAGTATCTCACATTTGTATCAGTTAAACTGTTTTACCACTGTTGGGGCATGATGCTGACCACTCACCCCTATCAAGGTTACGAATGAGCAGGAGCTACACATCCTACGCTCACCGCAGATGCCTACATATCTTTTTTTTAAAAACTACCACCAGGATGGACACACGTGATTGAAGGAATGATATTTTTGTTTACTGCATCCAGAATTGTCTAAAGGCCACCCTCTCTCCTATCCCTTTAGCAGCAGGGACATTTTGCCCAGGGATAGAAGTAGACAGAGGGTGAAGCTAACCAGTCATTTCCTTTTAATGGCAAGGCCTTGAGCATGGTATAATACTTAGTCACATGAATAGCTTCATATTTATTTCTAAAATAAAGAAACAATATATGAGAAATTCATATTCATTTATTTTATGCCTGTAAGTCATTGAAGCTCATTGAAGCTGGCATGCACTTATGACCCAACACAATACTTCGACATTCCTGTGTGTAACCAGTATTAGATGAGATAGAAATTATGTTATGTTGTGAAACATCCTGGTAACAACATGTACAGTTCACAGAGAAGTGTCTGTAAATAGAAATGTTTGACTTGTATAAACTATAAGTATCCTTGTACAAATTAATTTATATATTTGTAGATAATCTACTGGAACACATAAGCAAATCAGCCAAAACATTAAATTATTATACCAATGATTACATTTTTATCTTTGAGTGCTACAATTGCCTGTCCATCACAATTCTTCCTTTGACTGTTTCCCTTATAAATGCAGAGAAAAGTGAATACAATAATTTATTTCTGTATTTATACAGCAGTTGTATTCCTCAAAAGCACAAAATAATGAATATAAAATAAGCAAACAAACTATTAACACCATAAAAAAGACACTAGTGCCATACGTGTTTCAACCTCAAGAGGTCATGATCAGTGGCAACAGGGAAATTAATTAATTTAATCAAATGGTTTAAAATTGGTTTAGAAAACAAATCATGAAGTAGAGTATTTTACAAAAGCATATCGTTGGTTTTACAGGAGTTGAACTCTGCACTTAGCTATGGATCCGATGGTATGGTGGATGTAGCTGGTCTGCGGCGAGCCGTGGTTGCATGTTTGTGTGAGTAACACCCACAATAGCTAAGTGCAGAGTTCAACTCCTGTAAAACCAACGATATGCTTTTGTAAAATACTCTACTTCATGATTTGTTTTCTGAACTATTTTTAAACCATTTTGATTAAATTAATTAATTTCCCCTGTTGCCAATGATGATCACCTCTTGAGGTTGAGGCACTAGTGTCTTTTTATAGTTGTTTGTTTGCTCATTTTATGTTCTAATACACTACACGGTATGCAAAGTTTTAAGATTTTAACAAAATAATGAGCTAATTTTCCATAACAGGGGTTGACACCCCTGTGAAATGTTTATATAGTTATATAAAATGTTATGTTAACATTTTGAGAGTCAATGCCTCCATCTCTCTCCACGAATGAATGTCACACTGTTATTTGTAAAGTTGCCAGTTTCGAACATCTGGGAGCCTTTGTCAAGTGTGCATCTTTTGTCACCTATTTTACATATCGTTTAATAATAACCTTATAAACTGGGTACACATGTAAATATTCACTGTGGTACTGCAGCCTGTTGAGCTTACATAAAATACCAATAACTTTAAAAAGAAATCATTGTGTTTCACATATCAGATTCAGCAGATTAGAAAACAATGGCAATAGAATTCAGTTGAACAAATGTTGGTCCCATTCAAACAACTTAAAATGAGAGAAGAAAGAATTTTGATAGTTTCTGCTTCTCACCATTAATTCCTTTGCGCTGTATGAGACACTGTCGACATTCCATCAACAAACTTGGTTTGGAATAGTACGTTAGCATTGTTGAACATCCCATCTTTCAGAGACACAATGATGAACTGTAACAGAATCAATCGAAGTTAAAAACTTCCTTTCTCTTGGGTTCAGCCCAATGTTATATCGGAGGTGAAGCCCCACTGGAGGTTGTGATGGCATGCTGGATAATTAGGCTCAGTGCACGTCTCAGGTGTAAGAAGATATTATGGAGCATTGGTAGAATAAATATCAAGGTAAAACTAAAGTAGAGCGGAACCTCAATACAATATGGGTGTCAGAGGGCAGCTTCAGTAAATGTGTTACAAATGTATGATGTAAAACATATGTAACTGTATTGGGGGACATGATCAGACCATGGTATATACAGATCCACAGAATAACTGAGTGCAATATATCAAGGTTAACAGCCATTCTAACCTAATTAAATCACATGGACTGCTTTGCTGCTGAATTTGGACCTACACAGTGAAAAGCCAGCATCTAACTATGTGAGACCTAGTACGATCAGACGCTCCAGGCGAAGATGTGATTCTTAAGGCATATTTATTCAGTGAAAGGAAGAGGAAAGAACATGGAAAGAAATTGAGGAGGATGAAGATGACTTATTCCAAGCTGTCCAATTTGCTTTACAGACCATAATATGAGTCTGACCGATTCCATGAACAAAAGTGAATAACAGTAAACAGCATTAAATGTTCCCTGGATATCCCTCTATACCAAAATCCTTCACTCATGTTTGTAGATGGCCCTAGGGATCATGTTTTAATTTTCTTTTAATGTTGTTTTCTTATGAAGTCAGATGGGACAGAAAACAAGGTAACCAGTCATAAGTTACATGACACGTGAATATTATGACCTAGCACGAGCTGCTTTGAATTTAATATTTCCGAACAATACCACACTGAAGCGATGCATATTCTTGGACATTTTCTTTCATCTTTGTTGGCAGGGAGACACAATGTTTCAGAAGGTGGCTCAGCCTCCATCATCAGATAAACAACCTAATCAGTTGGGTCTACTGGAAAAAGTCAATCTAAATCCCTGGACCAATGCACCCAATTAGGTTCTTCACCTGATGATGGAAGAAAAGCCAGTTTCTGAAAGTGTTTGGCTTTTAAAACCAAGATAAAGGAAAATGCCCAAGAATATGCATCACTTTTATGGCAAACCTATATCAAAATCTTAGTCTAACTACCACATACTTTGATTTGTAGTTTTTTGTGAGAAATTTCCCAATTTTTGTACTCTGCATGCCAAGACACATAATTCCCTGATGGTGGTACCAAGTACCTCTGAAACATCAATAAACTTCTACTACACTACACAGTACTACAACTCAGAAGAGAGCCATCTTCATTCTTTCTGTCATGAGAATCTAAAATCTTATTTATACACTGAAAATCATGAATACAATCACAATAGAAACACATGCCCCGCTGACCTGTTTTTATTTTCATTACTGAAATATTTTTGTAGGAAAGAAGGATAAGATACTAGACAAGACAAATTTGTTGCTAGTGTTTTCATTAAATACGTTTCACTGCATAGGACTCTGCATTTTGGACTGTATGTCCAAGAAGATACAAACAAAATTAAATCAAAGTGAATCAACCATTGTGACAAAAATGTAGTCATAAATCACCAAATCTATATTAAAGCACCTTATATTCATGGTTTTTGTGCATCTCCCATTTGTTTCTTGATTTATTTAATGATCAAGCCCATACATTACAAAGCAAATCTAAAAACATATGATTAGGTATTATGTACCTGTGGCACATTTTAAGTAACTGTGCAAGTATTTGCATGGAGAGAGTGTGGGAAATCATGAAAATATTTGGTCAGGACAGCAAGCCTCAAGGTCAAAACTTACACTCAGGGTCTGTAAAATACACAGCAAGAGTCACGTTAATCCTCAAAGTGTCTGGCACTGTTTGTATGTGGTTCTTACCTGTAGAGTATTTCTTCTAATAGCATATGTCCTTTCAGTTGAAATGATATACTGTAATACAGCTTTATGTTGATAATTACTATACCTGTGAGTGCTTGAAATGAGTCTTGAGCATGTTACCGATGTTCTGCGTGTGGGATAAGTCCAATGCAGCATCAACTTCATCAAGTATATATATTGGTGCAGGTTTGAAGAGCAACATAGCAAGTATAAGAGATAGGGCAACTAATGACCTCTGTCCCCCACTCAATTCTCCTAAACTGTCCTTCCAAATACCACCAAAGCCAACTTTCACCTGAAAAGCACATTTAAATTAGTATAAAACTTTTATATAGACTTTCCATTGTGCAATTAATATCATTCGATCATGTACCTGACGTGTAATGAATATGCACTCATTAATACTTTCAGAACAGTTTGGGTTAGAGTCAATAAAAATTGTAATCACTTGCACACTTAAATAAGCAATCTTCAGTGGAACTCACATTGCCTACCCTTCTTCAAAAGTTTCAATCTATATGGTGAGCCTGGCAAAAACTATGAATAATTATACAATTTAGTGAGCCACTTCTAAGCATGGTCTCCATTAGTGCATATTCTGATTACATTAAATGTAGGAGATAAAGCCAATATTTCATGCCAGTAATTGCTGACATATGAAAAAATTTGTCACAGAGAATTTGCAGGTATGTTTACGGTCCACTTCATAAAAAATAACACATGATCCATCAGTTAATGTCATCAAACCAAAAACTAAATTAATTTTTTTGCATAACTGTCATGTTTTTATTTTACATTTTACAGAAAGTGCATTAACAAAAGTAGCATGTGATCCCAGAACAGCATCAGCATAATTTTTACCACAGATGCCCGTACGCAGATTTTTTGGATATCAACAGTCACTATGTTCTGCATGAAGCCATCACCTTCCTGTTTGGTACTGATGCAAAGGTTCCTGGCAGGTGTTCACACATCTTCCCTTCACTTCAAGACTCAGCTGTATAGGCATCCACCATGCACACACTTTTGTAACTGCTGCATGTCGTGGATGATATGGCGAGCTGAACCATGATTCACATCCACCATGGCAGCCACTTCATCCACCGTAATGCAAGTTTTCCATAATGAGATGTTCAACTTCTGAAATTGCAGCATTGCAATTCTGTGGGCCTGGCCTATTCAAGGAGCATCTCCAACACCAGACACTTCATTCTTAAACTTCCTACTCCATTCAAACACCTACTGCAGTAATAAACATGTTACCATACTGCAACTCAATGTAGCGATGGATTTTGATGGGTTTCACACCCTTATTACCCAAAAAAATGAAGACAGAACGCTGCTCCTCCTTCGTGCATGCTTCCAAGGGAGTAGCCATCTTTGCATTGCTCTGCTGATGGCATGCAGCCTGCAGTGTCAGATCTACTGCACACAGCATGCACCTCTAATCCTTGCTGATGACTTATTGTGCCTACAGCTGCACATGGTAGGTTCTTAATTTATTTTTTGCACTTTCAAGATATTTGTTTGACTCACCCTTGTAATTTCAAGAAAAAATGATCACAAAACATTGGTCCCGTTTCCAACCATCGTGGAGCTATATTGGTTTTCAGTTGGGCACAGGGAAAAGAAAAGCATTAATAAGAATATACTGATACATTTCACACACATCTTATAACAGTTCAAAATGTCTGCCATGGTTCACAATGCACAACTTTGCTCATTCCAAACAAGAATTTACTACCAGCTGAATCATTTCAGAGTGTTCTCATATGCAAGCAGCAACAGCATCCATAATCCATTGTATGAGTTCCTCTCTCGTGTGTTTGTTGTTGTAGGTCACCTCTTTCAGTGGACTGCACAAATAAAATTGAGAACGGCTAGGTCCGGAGATCTTGGCAGCCAAAATATCGGACCATAATGACTACAAAGTACGTACAAGCAGATGCTTACATCTTGAATGAAAACCATCACTGGTGTTGCCATCTAGTGAAGAAACACAAGTATTTGTTGTTTGTACACATTCTGCTATGGATGTTGTGTAAATAGTTTTTACTCAAAATTACCCCCCAAATTACCTGCTGATGTATGGCACACCTGTTGTCAAACACTGTGTAATAGTTTAAATACTAGGCAAAAGAAGTATCAAATAAGAATGATGACTTTCTCCATCAACAATTAAAGACTTCCAGTATAACAATTTCTCACCTCCAATCCATCCAGAACATCCATGCCTTCTGGGGGCTGGAGACAACCTTGAGCTCCTGGAAGAAGAGTGCTAAAGATGGAACCAAAATCCTTATTAACTTGCTCCCATGCTTTGCGGAGAGCCTCTTTTTTCTTTTGGTCCAATTCTTTCATAACAGCAACAATCTTAGCTTTGTCACACTCAACAGTCTTTTTCTTTTTCATCAAATCAGCATACTGCAACACGATCATACCAGCATTATTCAATGAAGGTGTTCAAAATGGTATTCGTGATAAAATTAAGAACAGATTAAATGTATGAAAAGCGTGATATTGTTCAGTTAAGAATCCTCATGTCTTACATAACAACATACAGATATAAAACATACAAAACTGTGACTGTATCACTTTTATTATGCGTATGAACACACCATTATTTAAAAGAACATTTATGTATGTGATATTGCCAACCATGATGATGATATGATATTAGCATCATCACAAACTTCAAGTAGTAATATATATATATATATATGTCCCATTGATGACCCTGGTTGGCTAAAACATGTCACAAATTAAATTAAATAAATCTCCAATGTTTCTAGTTATAACAGTAAACAGTTAAGTATACCCAATTAACACGGTTTAATTTTTATTAGTTTCCAATATCATGTTTGTTTCATGCATATTTATGTTGGTACACAATTGCAATGCAGTCCTAACAATTTACAATGGACCATGTGTTGCTGTACTTGACAGAGTTGATTTCCAAGTTCTTATATCAATGTCAGAGAGGCAGATATACTATGAAAACCATGTGTAAAATAAGTACCATTTACCAGGTAAATGTTTAAACAGAACACCAACAAAATTCATGTGTGTTTACATAAAACCCATAAATTTCATAGTAATTTTCTATCTCTGCTAAAGCACACTGACTTGGAAATTACAAAGACAAATTACTTCTTCTAACACATAATTGGTAAACCTGAAGCCAATTCCTTCAAACTGGGCTCAGAACACTTCACCTGTTCTTCTTCTTTGCTAAGAAGACTCATGGCTCGAGTATTAATATTGCGACCGAGCTTTTCAGTCTTTTCCGAAAGCTTTGAAATTCGCTTCCCAGCCTCGTGAGGATCATTTTCAGTAAAGTCATAACTTCCGCCCGGATTGCCAAAATACTGCTTCTCTTCCTTAATCCAAGAATACTTGTTTTCTAGAGCAGAAACCTAATAAATAAGGATAAACAAATAAAAAATTCAGTATAAAAAGTATGTATACATGTTTACTACATATGTAAACATTAATAAGCACATATACTACTTCTGCGTGTTCCTGTTACATCAAGGGTTCTTAATCTTGCAACAGCCTGTGCTGTTACTAACACTGCCAACCTCAGTATTCTATCTATTCATGCTTCAAAATTAAAAGCAGTGACTACACACATGTAATATGTGAAGAAAAATGGAACTGTGGTATCCTGAGGAAATAACAGGCAGGGAACATAATAGCAACAAAATGGGCAGAACATGAATAACATGATGACCAAGAATCTTGAATGGTTTGTGGAGAGTCAATTTTGTAGGATGCGTAAAATGGCAAAAACTATATCGTACCCTTGTTCTTATACAGTAACTTGACAGAGTGCCAGTACTACAGTATGCAACAGAGAACTGTGAAAGTGGGATACCAATCAAGAAAATCACTCCAAATTTGTGTTTCAATTTATCTGGTTTCCACAAAATACTTCCCCTACAGACTTCACTGAATAAAGGATTTAATTCTTCAAAAGAAAATGTTAGTCATATACAGGATTCCTGGTTTATTTAGCAGTACTGTCACCTGCATAGACTATAAAGCATTGTAGCCAATACTGCATCAGCTTCTAGTAATTTTTGATTTAGGGGAATAATCATAATTACAGTTTGCATGATAATCATGTCAGTGTCACCTTATTTATTAGTGAAATACCAAACTTGTTGCAAAATACCGGTGCTCACACATAAATAACAACAAAGCTTAGATATTAAACTCTTACCTTTGAGCAACAATCTTTAGACTCAGACTGAATTTTGGTAACTTCATGCTCCAGTTTCTTAATTTCCAGTTCAGAGTCCCCATTGTCTTTGATAATTTTCTCTTTCATTTGTTCTATTTGATGAATTTCTTTATTGATTGCACCAACTGTTCCCTTCTGCGTCTTCACTTCACTCAGCAATTTCTGGACAGTGGCCTATCGCAGAAAAAAATTACAAATTGAATAACAATACTGACCAAATATTATGAACCAAATAAGTTGTCAACTTTTATCTTATTTGTGAAAAATATACATCAAGGGCAAAGTATGGCAAAATTTGTACTCTAGTAGAAACCCACTAGTACAGTACCTGATAAAATGCAATATTTCATTACACCCATGTAAATAGTTTAAAAAGAACTGAATACAATTACACATACAGATACACATAAAGGACAGAGGAAAATTACATAACAAGGAGCTTTATTATTTGTACTCTTTACTTGTTTCTGTTAGGGTAATAACAAGGATGAGATGGGCAGGACATGCAGAACACACACAGAGAACAAGCAGTACATATAAACTGACAGAGGAGGAGACAATTTGGGAGACCTACATCCAGGTGAAAGGACAAAGAAATTAGTGAACTTCTGAGACATTAAAACAAGCCTTCAAGTTGCATAAAAAGCAGGAATCTGACAGCCCATATAAACATCAAATGTTAAAGAAGACCTTAAACTGTCATTCTAATTGACAATGATAATCACTTATTTACCTTGGATTCTACAACTGCTTCCTTTAACTTCACACCTTGCTCAGTTAACTGCACTAAAGCATCTTGGGCAGCCTGAATCTGTGCACGGCCTGTTTCAATTGATGCTTTCAATTCCTTTATCTCCAGGTTCAAAGTTTCAAATTCCTAATCACAGTATGAAATTTTAGTTAATAATACCAACAGTAATTACTAAGACAATGTACAGATACAAAATATACACACAGCAGAAACTGTATTAGTAAAATCATAAAAATTAAACACCAAATAATGTTATATTATATGAAATATAAGCTTCACTACCCTTTTGTACATTTGCAAATTATGGATTTCAAAAGTGTACCAAGGAAAATACAATTTTGCATTCTTGACATAAAATGAACACAATACGAGGCTGTGTCAAACTGTCTGTGTCTACCCGCACATCTCAGCCCTGAAACTGAACAGATTTCAATGAAATTTGATATCGCATTTCTGTACTAAATGATGGCAGGTGACTTTTTATGAAGGTAAAATAAAACTTTTTTTAAAAAATGCTTCATTATACAAAAGTAAAGGAAACAAAATATGGAAACAGATTTTTGATATGGTACAATAACAAAATATAAGAACAAATAATTTATGCTTCTGTAGAGTGTAATTAGCTTTGCAACAGCAGATCTATATCAGCAATAAATAAACATCAGTTCAATAAAGTATGTGCAACAGAAAAGAATGCCTTTCAGAAATATGTGTACTCCAAACTGCTGTAACCTTTCTACCTGGCATTGTGATTGCGAGCATATAGTTGCTTTGTAATTCAAGGGCAGTTTCCACTTTCCTGCTAACAGTCTCCATTGAAGTTTCATAGCTTGTAGCTCCAACCTGAATGTAACAGTAAAATGAAAGCTGTCCCACTACATGCCATGTAGGGGCATCAAAATAAAGTTAAGGCTCTGGACACTGTAATGAAAACTAGTAATCAGTTGCATCCATTATATTACCTGTTCTCTCTGTTTCCACTGTGTCCGACTTTCTTCAGATTTCTTTTTTTGCATCTTCATCCCATTTTCAGCATCTCTTAGTGCTTGTTCTTGGATTGACTTGGCATTCTTCAACTTATTTTGAAGTTCCTCTGCTTTTTTGCTATTGTCTTTCTGCACCTGTTTACAATGGTTCAGTCTATCTTCAAGCTCCACTGAAACAGGTAACCTCAAAATGTTTAGAACAAATTTGGAAATTTTCTGACAAACAAAAGATAACAATAAAACACTGAAAAAAACTGATATACATCTACATGACAAACTGAAGGAAGTTCTGGGACAGAAGAGAATACAGTGACATAAAGGCCAGTAGGCTAAAACTTCCTCATGATGTATACAGAGACACAGAGTTAGTGGGATTACTCAGGTGAAGTCGGCATTATAGGCCCTTAAGGAGAATGCAGTATGTGAAAAGCTTCAAATCAGGGAAATGGACTGCCCTAATCAGTGGGCTAAAACAAAATGTTGCAGCAATTGGAAAGATCAATCATAAAAATGTCATTTATATTACAGAAACGATGTCCAAGAATCCAAGAGAGTCTTGAGGGCAATGTGAACTGTGTAAATGACAGTAGAAAATGTCGGAATTCTGGTCGGCAGTTGCCGCATCATCTTCAATAGAGCTCTAAAGATGCATTTACTGCATAGCTTCAGATCATATATGCATTTAATGGCCGCAAGAATATTCTCTCCCATCTACATTTATGCAATTCACCTAAAGCATCCCAAGACATAATCAGTAATCATGCAGGAGCAACTTGTTATGCATTACACAGTTGCAATATGTAAAATAGTTAAAATTGTTCTTTTGGACTTCATGCATTGTCTTCAGTTATAAAATAACAAAACAACATTTTTAACACTGTATTTTGTCTTCTGGTAAAAAATATGGGGAAAGAGGACAGAACGTCAGTCTTCCTGCAGATGAAGAAATGACTCTAGTGCTACAACTTCAATCATCCAGTAGAGGTTCATATGGATTAAAAGATTGCAATGAAAGTTACAGGCAGTGACATCCAAGAATGTTTTAGATAATTATACAAGAAGTATGTAGCTGCTGAAGGACAGCATTTTGATTGCAACTGCATCTACAGGCTTCATAATGCCATCAAATGCAAAATATAGCTCCTGTCCTTGAACCCTTCAAACCTTTAAATAAGGAGATCAATTTTCCAAGATGCTACCATTAATTCCATTTTATACTATTTAACCTGCAGAGCTATAAAAGAACTGAGAAACAAATTATGGTGTTCCATAATGCAAAAAATTCTGTATGGTATGTTGATCAGAAGTCCACAATATCTGGTTATAAGTGAAAACAATGCTGGATGAAACAATCAGTTTTCAATGAAGAGAAGAAAACTTAAATTAATGGAAAAACAGCTTTTTTATTGAAATTCTAGTGCCAAGTCAGATTTTTTCCAGGTGCAAAGTGCACCAGCAATAATTTTAGGTTTAAGTCAAACAACACACTACTTTAGTAATGTCTTTTAGTGTAGATCCTCTTTTATCAATGTCATCACCTACGTAGGATTTGAGGTTTTCACAACAGTGAGTCTGAAGATTGCTGTCTTCTGGGTTATTGCGCCGTGTAATTTGGTAGATTCCATACTGACTCCGTCATCAGGAAGGAGGCAGTATGACATCTGAAATGTTGGTGGAAATCTACCAGACTACATGGTGCAGTAACCCAGAAGAGAGCAATCTTCTGATCACCTTTGATTTACAAACTAACACAACTGTACTGTGTACCCAACAAGCTAGTTCCAGCAGCGTAAAACAGTTCCTAACTAGATTTCTGTCTTCTGGGTTGTTGCGCTGTCTAGTCTGGTCGATGTTAACCAACGTTTCAGAGGTCATACTGCCTCCGTCATCGCCCTGATGACGGCGGCTGTATGACCTCCGAAACTTTGGTTAACATTGACCAGACTACACAGCGAAATAACCCAGAAGACAGAAATCTTCATACTCAACCGCTGTGAAAACCTCAAATATTACACAGTCCCTAACTACTTCCTGTTGCAGCATGGGAGGCACCATACACTTACACTATATATTCTGTTCAATACTCACATTTGTTAATTAAATGCACTATGTTGTACTGTCAATATATAATACAAATGATTCCTAACTCTTCAGATACTAAGTATAAAGGTAAATATGGTATGTACTGTCACGAGCTTACCAATCTTTGTCTTGAGAGCTTGTACTTCCTCTTGATGCTGGTGGTGAACTGTTTGCTGAAGTTTCCTCCTAACCAACTCCACTTCATGTGTCATCAGCTCCAACCGTTGTTTCAGTTGCCTATACCTGAAGCACCATGTTTGGACTCATCTTATAAAACAGGTCCAATACTATTAGTAAAGTATTAAATAAGGATGTTCACACTGGCTTTCCTTTGGAGGAAAGAACCCCCACTGGGTACCTACCTCAGTGTCAGTCTGATAAGCTCTGATCATCATAAAATATTCTGACAAATACATGCTCCCCACACCGTATGCCATCCATTGTTTCCATCTTTTACTTTTCCCACTTCTAAATCCACAGTACTGCACATTTCAAACTGTTGCATGTTTTTTCTAATGCCCTCTATATTATTTTATCCTGTATGACTTCATACTTATTCATAGCTATTGAATTAAAACTTCAGACCAACCATAATCCAAATTATAATTAACATTTCCATCAGCTACGACCTACCATTTGATTCTTTATTATATACACACATTTTAGCCAACTGTGCTATCCTCAGAACATGTTCTTGAATGTAGTACATTATGCTCACTTTATACACTGAAGCATAAAAGTTTATATTACAGTCCATACAAATTACTTGTTAAAAATACATGCTTAATAATAACTATTTGAACAGTTATTAACACTGGTTGTATCACATTACTGAAGTTAAAAATGCTAAATTAAAGTTGTCCCTTCATTAGGCATAAATTGTAAAATATTCTACACCAGTCTGGTCACCGGGGTCAGCAGTGGCCGCGTGGTCTGAGGCGTGGGCCTTGTGCCGCTTGGTCGCTAGGACCGTGGGTTCGAATCCCACTCAAGCCATGGATGTCTGTCCGCGTTTTTCTGTGTTGTGCTGTCCTGTGTATAGGTAGAGGCCTTGCGACGGGCCAATCCCTCGTCCAAGGAGTCCTACCAAATGTCTCAACATCAAGCTAACGAAAAGTTGGGACCAGCAGTGCTCAGGCACTTGAAGAACGGGTCGTTCCCAGTATCCCCAGTATCCCAGTCTGGTCACCATAAATCATAACGAGTTCACAGTGTGATATATTACTATAAATTTTGTTGCTTCTGTTATTACTTACAATTTTTAAACCTTAAACACTTAATAACTTTTAATTTAACTGTAGCAATTGTTTACTCACATGAAGTATAATGTGTTAAACTTCTACAGGATAAGTAATGTATTACCTGACATGGAATGAGTGTAACAATCACTTGAATGTTATGTAGATAATTTCTTGAGTAATATAATATGATTTACTGCTGTGGATAATTCAATTGGTGGTATGTCCTGTGAAGCCCACACGATAGCAAAACAGGAGAAAGAAATGTACAGAACATACATAATGAAGGGACGCAACTTCAGTTTTTACATTTTCAATTATATGATACAACCACTGTTAGTAAGCATAGTAATAGTTTGTACTGAGCAGGTATTAATAACAGGTAATTTGTATGGAATGTAACCTCAAATGCTTCAGTGTATTTTAGTGAACCTAACACATCACACTAATGAACATGTACCAAGGATCATTCAACTGGCCAAAACGTATATATGTAATAAAAAATTAAATTGTAGGTGGCAGCAGATTAAAATACATATTATATTTAAATTTCAGATGATCTAATGTTTGAATTGAGATATGAAACTTACAAATGTGGTCACACTTTGCCAACAAAAGGAAAAGCCATGTTCTTACCTCTCTGCTATTTTGGTAAGATTTCTTATGTCATTATCAATTTTGGCTACCCTCTGTTCTTTGCTGTTCAGCTCTTCTTGTGCTTTATAAACATCTTCCAGCTGATCAAGTAAAGCTGTACCTTTCACACGGGCACCTGGTCAAATAAACAAATCATGTCAGATAATTACAAAACAAATAGAATAGTAATTCAATTTTAACTTTACTCCCTCCCTGACTTCTGTCAAAAGAGCACATAAATGGGGAATACTGGGAAACATCACATCAGCCTCTGTGGGGCTCGCTTTTATACCTTCAAATAACAAAAAACAAGTTACACTTTTGTCTCTTCTAAGATGATAGGTGACACAATTCAGTTGGTGACATAGTTTATGATGTCAAAATTAGAAAGTTAGTGCATTATATTTTCAAAATATTTCCTGTATTCATACAGCAGTGGGAAATTCAAACACACTGGTCTTACACTTCTCTCACCAGAAGCATGCACCAGAAGCATGGATGATTAGTATGTAACTTTTATTATGAATTGCCTTATTATTTGGTTTACAAGCAATACTTTATATACCATGTTCACACAGAACAACAAAATTCAATATTAATGATTTGCGAGAACACATACTTCAATGCAATTTTAACCATGTTCTGGATTGAATTTTAAATATCAATTGTCACTCTGGATAACAATAATTTCTGAAAAGAACTTATGTTACCTGAAAGCTGTCTGATGTAATGGAATGTTTTAAAATTTAATTACAATTTTAACTCTTAATACACAAGAAGTTTCATACACAACTTGTAGATATACTTATGATCCATCTTCATATTCCAAACTGTAACAGTTTATGCTATCAAACAAAAAGATATTTACAGATTTCCTGTCATGCTGTCATTTACATAAAAAAGATCTATCACCACCAAAATTCACGACTTAGTGGATCAGGCACATAAACAACCATAATTGTAGCTACAAATTGTACACTCAACATTTTTCTCTATGTATTAAAAATTATAAAACTTTCACATTGTCTTTGACAACTTTCAGGTATGGTAATGTGTACCTGTACAAGATTAAAATATATTTCCCCTGGCTACTACATAGTGAAGCTGCAAACATTTTTAACCTTCCAACTACATGGAGGTGAGTGCTTAGCTATACACTCTGGTCATGGAAACATCACTTCATATCCAATGGAAAGAAAGCTGGGTGGGCCCCATATCAACTCTGCCCTAAGTTTCTTCTTAGTGTATACAATTCCTTGCCCTCATAATAATCAACAGTGATGGAGCTCATTAAAATCTGAAATTAAGTGGCATGTATAGCAAACTTCAGAATCCTGCAGGACATTTCTGTACTCATATGGAAACCTGAACAGTTTTTATTGTCTTATACCTTCTGAATTTAAATACATGTTACATTATATAGCTCACCTCTGACCTGCTGCACACATCAGTATGCAGTACCATTTTGGAATCAAATGCTTACTGTACTGTTCTCCAATGGCGCATGGTTTGCAAGAACTCTACCAATGTGACCGATTTAAAAGGATATTATAAAAAAAATTCTGAATTCAACACTTTTCTGTAAAGCAGCTGTATATAAAAGATTACATATTTCTATGATAGGAAATAGATGGGGAGGTTGCAGATATTAAGGGGGAGGGGGGAATATTCTGTTTACCATGAAAGTATTTCCATTCATTATTGAGTTAAGTCTACCATTCTGGTTTATATGTAAACATTTACAGTTTAAGCATAAAATTAAAATATGGTATATAGTTGGGGCTGGCTTATTTCTTTTTGGCATGTTATATGTGGTTGCCCCAGCCTGTAAATTTAGTTTTTCCTCTTTTATAGTTTTCAGAGAACTTTTACAGACTCTGGTTGCAGAAGCAGCTCATTCATGCACCTTACTAACTGGGGTAACAAATATGTGTTCATCCACTTCTTTCTGCATGAATTTCAGCACATAAGTTACAACCTCATGTGACTGCCCTTTCAGTATCTTTCAATAAAGTCTGAACTAAATGTGCAGCATCCTTACACGTCACCACCCTGATCACAGAAACACATTGATCTATGCGCACACAACTTGGCACAAGCTCTTGAATCATGTAACTTTGGGCTTGCTGATAATCCCTGTCTCTCAACCCAGACTTGTGAAAGTAATATACCTATAACAGTAATCACACTGGGTGCATCAGAATGCATAGTCATATAGTCATATATTACTTTTCCTCGTACTTTGTTATGTTGTGACTATAACAAAATGTTTCAAACTGAAATTCTGAATTATAGTAAAAAAAATACTTAACATAAAAGTATATATTAAATAGAACAAATACAAATAAAAATTAAATTTCCTAGACAACTTTCAATGAATATTGCGGTCGAGTGGTTATCACTCCTGCTTCATTTTTCAAATGTCACAGGTTCAAATCTCAGCCCAGAGACCAGCCCTCCTGACTTTTATCCAGGGTTTCTTTAGTTCCTCCAGGCAAATGCTGGGATAGTGCCTTAAATTAGGTCATGATCACTTCCTTCCACCTCCTTTCCAATTAATTATTTACTATCCTCCTCTCATTCAAAGTTATAGTCCGAGCTACTGAAAAAGCATAGTTAAATAAACTACAGTAACAACTTTTACAGTAAAACCCCAGTAAAATTTGATTTAATATAAACAGTAGTTGAATTTAAACTTGTGGAGAGCCAAATGAACAGGACCTCCCAACAGAGCATATAAGAACATTCATTTGAAGAGCATTCTGAAATTAAGAGTGGGATACTTACCACCAGACAATGTTCCTGAGGGATCAAAGACATCTCCATCCAAAGTGACAGATTTTTTAAAGATACGTTCATGGAAAGTCACCTTCTTTGCAGTTTCCATATCCTTGCATATAAATGTCTGGCCAAAGACCCATTGCATTGCTGGATGTATTTGAGCGTTATATTCAATAAGAGACAATGCTGGCTGCACATTTTCTTTACCAACCTGAAATATTAATATACAGATATGAAATGTGTTCCTGTGCTCACACGATTACCAAATCTGAAAATATGTTACTGAACATTCCATGGGGGAAGTTTTTACAGGAACAGCTCCAAAGACAAACTTTTTTCAGTATTAATACCATTACTAGTTCAACCCCTGAGTCTGACCACTATCCCTAAAATATGGGAACTTAAAGGAATGGGGCTACTTGGGAGATCAGCACACAGATGCGCAAATAACATAAAACATAAGTTAAAGAAGTATCACGTAAAGGTGTGGACTGGATTGAACTGGCTCAGGACAGGGTTCAATGGCACACAATTTTGAAAATGGTAATGAATCTGGGGGGTTCCGCAAAAGGTATGGACTTTCTTGAGCAGCTGAGTTACTTTCAACTTCTAGAATACCTCAAGAGTTAAACAGTGTGTCCATAAAATAATAGTGGGGTAACACACAGTCATAGTTTTGGAACAAAGCACGATAGAGACATGAAATAAACGTCAAAATAAAGAGAAACTCTCCAATTTATGATATGTAAACATGTTCTAGCACAAGCGCATGCGCACTGAGTTACAAGGTCAATAGATTATGATGGGGAATTTTTAGACAAGTTTTTGTTCAGTGATGAGGCTAAGTTTCATGTTTCGGGACGAGTCCATCGGAATAATGTTAGAATATGGGGTAATGAACCTCCATATGTCATTATGGAACATCAACGTGATAGCCCAAAAGTTAATGTGTGGTGCGCAATTGGACGAGACAGAGTTATTGGCCCCTCCATTTTTGCTGAACAAACTGTGATGGGAAAGAACTTCCTGGATATGATAGAATGGTATGCAGTGCCCCAAATACCGGATAATTTCATTCTCCAGTTAGATGGACCTCCTCCACATTTTGCCACATTCGTGTGGGATTATATAAACTAAACATTTCCTCAGCGATGGGTTGGACGAGGAGGGTGGATAGCCTGGCCTCCACGCTCTCCAGATCTTACTCCTATGGATTTCTATTTGTGGGGTTATGTGAAGCAACAAGTGTTCTCTGTCCAAGTAACAGATTTGGACTATTTGAAAGAACGGATCACTGAAGCTTTTCATCTATCACACCGGATGTTCTCAGCCGTGTATGGCAAGAGCTTGAATATCTTCTTGATGTCTGCAGGGCAACTAAAGGAGTGCATATCGAAATCTACTGAACAGGTAACATTCTTGGAGAGTTTCTCTATATTTTGAACTTTATTTCATGTCTCTATCGTGCTTTGTTCCAAAATTATGATTGTTTGTTACCCCCACCATTATTTTACGGACACACTTTGAATCTACTTCATTTCATTCTTGTCAGCTGCCCCTGGGCATGCATAATCATTCACCAACAAATCCATACATAATATGTACTATGAATATGACATCTGTAAAAAAAAATGTCACTTTTCAAACAGCTGGTTTCAGTTCATAATGTATGAAAAAGAAAATGTTCAACTTATGATTATCATTTCCCTTTAGCAGCCATTGTATCAGCAAGTAAAATGTAAATTTCTGTTAACCTGTAACTCACCAGCTCTTGTGCAAGTCTGATCGTACTTGCTTCCAGGCTGTGTCCAACTATCTTATTCAAAGGAATAATTGTAGTACGGCGTTGCAACTGTCCTCTTTGCAACAACTTTTTTGCAGTTGTTTCCGTGTCCACAATCACATTAAACAACTGAAAGAAACAAATACACAAGCCTTTCTAATTAATCACACTGCATAAAGGAAAGTATAATCATTTGCATAAAATATGGCTGTCACATAACATGTAAGCTGGCAACACATTCTGCATGGGCACTGCCTACTAGTATGTTGGAACTCAACAGGATCTCCACACACATATTATGACAAGCTAAAACGGCACTTCATTCAGATAGAAAATAATTTCTTTACTGAAATACCGTTTCTCTAACATACAGAACTTATCCAAAATATAAGATGATGTTCTAGGCACATTTGCAACTGAAACTTCAAAAGTGTCCCCATTAACTTTGACAGATGTCTGTCTGCTGTAATAATTCAAGAACTGGTGAATGGATTTTTAACACATATTACATTGGTGAGTTTTACTAAAATTTGTCAACATACTCCAGTTTTGGTAAAACAGATAATGGGAACCATGTGGCAAGATCTATATGCATATCTGTGCATAGAAGGGACTCAATGGGGAATCCCAAACCAGGCACTAAATATGTGAGGAGTCCCCTTGACATCAGTATCCAACCAGTTAGGTGCCAACACTCCTACATGAAGGTCATTAATTCCACTAATATCTGACTCCAATGACAAAATCAGTAAAACTCAAAGGTCACACACAGGGCAATGAGGAAATTTGTAATTTCTAAGAACATGAGGTGAGGTAGCAGCATAAGATACACCAAGAAGGTACATAAAAAAAGTGTAAGCTGAAGGTTCATAAAAAATTTTATCTTCATAAATAACATACTTGTCCTCAAAGTCTGCATTTGGAGTCTGTTGGGGGTTGTCTTATAGTCTGTAGTATGTAATTTTCCAGTTTGTGAACGTGACTGCAAAATAACCACCTATTTAATACAATTAAATTCCAATGATCTTCCATGACAATTCAGCCATCACAGACAATGATGTTATTATGCAACCATAATATCATCATCATCCTCCCGCTTCACATATTTGAAAATCGGTTACGATAATATGCCGGCCGCAGTGGCCACGCGGTCTGAGGCATGGACCTCGTGCGCCTGGCTGCTGGGACCGTGGGTTCGATTCCCACTCAAGGCATGGATGTTTGTCCGCATCTTTCTGTGTTTGTACAGGTACAGGCCTTGCGTCGGGCTGATCACTCATCCAAGAGTCCTACCATTGTCCAAATAGATCAACTGAATAAATAAAAAACCTTGACACCTACGGGTAAAAGAGGACAAGAGAAAGAAAGAAAGAAAGTTACGATAATATTAACAACTGAAGAAACTCTATGAAGTATGAGTTTAAACTAAGTACCTATGGTATAGCATCAACACCAAATTTCATGAAAATTAGTTACTCTTGAGTTAATACTTCAGTACAGACAGACAGCAGTAGTGATGATGTCATTAGGGAAGCCAAAGGGAAAAAATCAACAGAATCCAAGGTCATTACTGTAACACTGTAATACAAGATGATGCCATACACAGATGACCAAGGGCATAGCATCAACATTGTCCTACCTCATGACTTAGAGCACCTGTCAGTGGTAATACCGACTGTAGGCAATGAAAAACCACTAGTGTTCATTAGCCTCTAACAACATAATCACCATACTAAATTTAATTAAAATACAATCAGCCATCCTCCAGTTACTATAATAGTTTCCAAGACCACTGACAAATGGCAGCACAATCTCAGCTGAGAGCTTCAACAGACATACCTATAAGATGTTCTTTGTTTATGCTAAGTGTAAAGAACACATAAAAAAAATTATTTTAGACAAAGCAACTGGTTGCTTTTTGAAATTCAGGCCAACTCACTCTTCCGCCACCTGCAATTTCAAGGGCAGTGGCTGCAGATTTTTCTTTCAATTTGAACAGCTTGCAAACCAAACCTTTAACAGCTGAACGGTTGAAATTGTGTTCTGGATCTCGATACTGAAAGTTCAGATGTGGATACCTTAAAGGAAAAGAGGACATGTCACAGATGATATAAGATTTATAATATATATAGCAAATCAGGAGTCAATTAAATTCTTCACAATTACACCTCTATTTGGCAAACTATCATGTTAACTCTGATGAAATAAAATTTCAAAAGCTGACAGACAGTGGATAATGAAGTGCTGAAAGAAACAAAATAGCTTGTAATAATAAGGTCATCAGCATAACAAAATGGAAGTCATACAAGACATTTAAGCCTACTCAGTTCCATACACATATATTTCCTGATTCCTACTTCCATTAAAATGTCAATGTTACAGAAATATTAACTGAACAAATACAAATCAAGCATACATAATAATTTAATGAAATAAACATTCTTACATTAACAACAAAGCTTTGTCACACCCAACTTTCCTGTCATATGAAACAGCGTTATGCTGATATGAATCAAAATTAAATTGTTGCTAAACTTTTAAAATTGTCCACTAAAATTATTAAAGAAGCCAACATTTTGTATGATCTCAAACTTTCACGATGAACTTCATTAATAAAATCCTCTTGGGTCATCAGGACTTCTGATGAGCAGAGTACTGATGAGGGGACAGAAATGATCCCTGAAATGTCATCAAGTTTTAATCATTTGACATGACTGATAGCCTAAGAGGATTTTATTAAGCCAACATTATGTAAAGCAGGTAAACAGACCATAGGAGCCAGGGTAGATCAGTCAGTATAGCGACTGACTACAGACTAGATGACTGGGGTTCGAACCCTGACAGGGGCATAGGATATTTCCTCTAGCCACTGTGTCAGACAAGCTCTGGGTCCCACCCAGCTTCCTGTCCAATGGGTACCCGAGTCCTTTCCCAGTGGTAAAGTGTGGTCATGGCGTGAAGCTGACCACTCACCCCCATCCATGGCCAAGGTTAAGAACAAGTAGGAGCTACACCTCCCCCACCCCCCAAATGCCTACATGGCATGGACAGCTTTACCTTACTTTTTTAGGTAAACAGACTTTTGTACCTTGCTTCAAATGTATCAACTCTTTCTTTCAGAGTCCGTATTTCAGATACAAGCTGCCGACGTTCATCCTGAAGTTGTTCAACGTGACCATCTTCATATTTTATTTTATGCAACTCATTCTGTAATAAAGACTAGATATTATAAATATTGCATCATACTAAAATGTAGAATTTAAAATAAAGAAAGTATTCCAAAACACTTTTCAGAATAAAATTTCTTAAGTCAAACTTCACTTAGTTCAACACATACCTAAATTAAAACATAGCTCAATTCAAGCGATAATACTTCACCCAATACTGTGAGGATAGTTAAATCAAGGAAGAGATGGGCAGGACATGTAACACACTAGATGAAATGGGAAATGTATGCATAATTTTTTGTTAAAAAACACATGGGAGACAAGCTGAAGACCTAGACAAAGTAGGAAGATAATTAAATGTCTTCTTGCTGATCAGCCATCTAAGTATGAAACTAGCTTCCACCATTTCAGAAAGTCGCTGTATTTGCACATACATTTAGCTCTATTAAATGTACAAGTACAAATACAGCAGATAGTCATGTCACTCATCACATTAGTTCTTGATGATGGGGGCCATGATTCTCTAAAATGTTTGAAACTACATCAGCTGAGAAACCATCAACTTATCAAGGAAGACCCTGTGCCATGAAAACAGATTAAACAAACTAAACATACCTCTAAACTGTCACGTTCCTTCTCCAAGTTCTCAAGATTCCTTTTATCCTTCTGATACTCTGTTGCAGTTTGCCTCATCTCATGCTGCTTTTCTGTCAGTTCTTTTTGACAGTGTTGTAACTGCATCTGAGATTGTTTAACTTCTGTTTGTGCTTGTGCTTCCTCTTGCTTAGCAGCTGCAATCATCAGGACACACAAAGCAGATCAAACAGATTGAACAACTCATCAAGTATAAAGCAATGGTTTTGTGTTTTGTTATGGTGAAGGAACATAAATGAACAAAGAACATGTCTGAACTGAACTGTGAAGTGATCAAGACAAAAACAGTAAAAGATAACGTAATTGCAGCACACATATTTTCCAATTGCAACCTTTAGGTATTTGCACTAATTGACTTTAATGTTGATGTATTGAAGATGGAATTTACTGTAAAGCTAATGACACCAGAGATATCACACCACATGGAGTCAGAAATTATTTTTCTCTTTATTTTCTTAAATATCAGTCACCATACTGAAAAAAGTTTAAAATTAAAATGTAGATCCTAACAAAATCTATATTTTACATCATTACCAATTGTGTCAAGATGCACTTCAGAAAATGGATAACATTCTATTTGGGCTCCATGTAAAGTACTGGCTATATTCAAGACACAAATCAGCATTAAATTAACACAGCTACTCTCAATTTTAATCCCCAATACAAAAATAATATAAATACGCACTCCATGCAAAGAACACTTAATATCTGTTGTTATGCAGATAAGTAGAAAAACCAGAATGCATAAATAGAATGTTTTAATTGAACTGCAAAGTCTTCAAAACAAAAGACATGTACCCATGAGCTGATCTTGCAGTGTTGAAACACCTCCACCATCATCAGTTACTAATCCAGCACTAACTGCCTGAAACTTTTGTTGAGCAGCTACGAGGGCTTCTGAATCAGCTTTGTCTGCATCTTTTAACTTCTGAAAGAGTCCCTGCACCTTCTGCAATTCAGCTTCCTTAGCTGACAATGAAGTTTCATCCTGAAATAAGACATGTTACCAAAAACTCTGTTGGAACACCAGAATTTCAATTGCTGATGAAAACAAAAATACCACTTAGAAGAAAACATAACCAATCAAAAATGTACAAATAAAATAAAAATACAACAAAAGCAAAAGATTTTTTTACATTCCTTCTTAAAGACAGCTTTAAACAATAAACATAATGAGAACAAAAATTCTTCTTCTTCTTTTGTAATCAATCCTAGGATTGGTTGGCAGCAGCTAAGCTGCTGATACTTGGGAAATCCTGAAGATCTTTATTGCGGTGGATTCCCCTTGCCTTCCGCATCCTATGCTGTTGACTCAACCGGGTTCATCCGCCTCTAGGGGTGATTTCTCACCCCAAGAGCATAAAGGTGCCCTGAACCTCCACCCGCTCATCCACCCTCCGAAGAGGTTTATGGTCAAGGAACACCAACATACACAGGAAAAAGTTAAAGGAAGTAATTCTTCACTCTTTACTATATCAACAAAATCAGACAAAATTTAAAGACATCAGCAATATGTTCATCAATTATCCTTCCACTTAAAAATAGGGTACGACTGACAATGACACTGTAAACAAAAAGAGGCAAGTAGGCCTATTTGTTTTTACTGACCTGAACTTATAATATGCATGGAACAGAGTCCTTTCTGCAAAGATAACAGTCACTCAGCTGGTCAAGAATTTCCCTTGTTTTTGAAGAACCCAAAGTTCATTATTATGTTCATAATATTATCACTATTGGATCCTATCCTGAGCCATCTGAATCCAGTTCATATCTCACAATGTATCTTTAATATATATTTTAATATTATCCTCCTAAGTATGCCTAAGCCCAATGCAGTATCATCCCTTCACATTTTCCACTAACAACCTATTCAAACTTTACACCACCCTCCTGCACATCCTGCCCATCTCATTTTCCTTGATTTCATCACCCCAATACTTGGCAATGAGATAATAAAGGTCCTCATTATGCAGTTTTCTCTATACTTCTTTTGTCCTAGGTTGAAATATTCTCCTTAGTACAGGTAGCCCTCCATTTGCGCCGATTCAGAATAACGCCGATTTTGAAACCAGCAAGTCAATAAGTGAAAAAAATATATTTTACTATTATTTATAACGTTTTACAATGTATCTCATACTGATTCTTACACTAAATCATAATTCTTACATCGCTGATTTTGAATAAAAATTATAAATACAGCCATCTCTGCAATTATGTATGTTTCGTTAATGCCAATTTGCTCAAATGAGATCGATGAATTGGTAAAAGCTGTTTGTGAAATGCAAACTTTTGTATATGCAAGTTTTCTCTTATGCAGTTTCATTTCTGGCACTTTAAACTTTCAAGGACTAATTTAATCTCTGCGGAGGTACCAAGGTTATTTTTACTATGCGATTTTCTACAGGTTGGTGTCTTACATGAATGCAACTATCGCATAACAGCAGAGATGACTGTACAAATCAATCACATGAAAGAATCACAGTCAATTGCGGGGACCAACGAATTGCCAATTGTAAGTGTATAAAATATATTTTTTAAATTCGTTTTATTTTATTTACGTTATTTCAATGCTTTAAATGTAATGTCATTATATTACTCGTCAATGTTTGGGTGCTGGGAACGCATGTCATTGACTTCCCATTGATTTACATTATAAAATAGTTTCAATTTATGCTGATTCCATTTACGACGGTTTGTCCAGGATCGCATCCCTGTCGTAAATTGAGGGCTACCTGTACTTTGTTCTCAAACACCATCAATCTATGTTTAACACTTAATGCGAGAAAATGAGTTTGATGCCAATAAACATCAGATAAAATCACAGTTCTTTATACTATTTTTAAATAGTGTTTTATTCAATCTCATCTAGAACTGGATAAGCATTTTCACACTGCAGCTGTCTTCTTACCACATGCAAACTCTGTTCCAGATGTTTCTTTCTCTTCTCCTCAGATACAACACTGTCATGGTTTCCTTTAAGTGCAGCAATGATTTCAGCGTCTTCCTTCTGTTTTGCTTTTAATTCCATTTCCAGAGCCTCCAATTTGCTGCCACCCTCCTGAAAGAGAAGCAGGAATACAAATAAAATATGCATAAAATACTGTACTCACAGAACAAATAAATTTTAATTTTGGCAAACTTATTCTTTACTGTTTACTTGTACCTTGCATGACAGTTCACAACTAATTAACCTATATCATCCATGCTTCACTATCTAAACACAATCCAGGTGAATGCACTGCACTAGCATACAATTACACAGTGAACCCTGGATTTGAAGTATGTCAGGCAACCCTGCAATGCAGGGGTTAAAATGGTGTTACCAAATAAAACAGGTTAATGTTACAAATTCAAAATAAAAGGAGCAAAGGGAGAAGGCTGAGGTGTTGTTATGCTTGTTCTGAAATTATCCAGTATCTGTGTATTTCAATTCTTCAGTTGTTTTACTCGGAAAACAGTACGAGATCAGTTTTGTATGTAACATGCTAAAGACATTCTGAAAATCAATTTTGTTTGAAAGTTCTTCAAAAATTATTTATTATTTTCTTTCATATTTTACTTAGTGTAATGAATAGGAGTGACAGGTTTTAGATATAAGTAGATGAAGGGCAAAAAAATTCACAGTTGCACAGGACAATTTTTAATGCATTTGACTTCATAAAAACAAACTGCTGTACTCATAAGTGTTCAGAAATGTAACACAAATACAGCACAGTTTGTATCAACAAGATAATCTTACCAAATTCTTCTTTTCCTTCAGGTTAACTGTTTGCTGGTCCAGATTCTGAGTTTCTTTCTCTCCATCTTTTATCTTCTGCCTGGTGCCTTGAATCTTTTTCTGAACTTCTACAAGTTTTTCTTTAGCCTTTCCACTGGTCTCCTATAAAAACAATAAGTTAGGGAAGGTAAAAATAGCATAACAAATGTGGCGTGTTACCAGGATCAATCTTTGACCTTGAGATGCGACTCAGTAAGCGACTGTGTGTAGTTTAGGCACAGGATTACTGGCAAATCAAAAGAATGGAAATTCATAAAATATCAGCTAATGGTTGTAGTGTAAGGGTCACTTTGATGCCCACCCCACTTACATACATACAACTTTGACCTTTGTAAATATTACCAGTGACATCAAAGTTGTCTTCCCATTTCCCTTACGGAATTGTGGGTGCCTGCCAAATTGAGGATTCTGCCACAAAGTTGTGGCATGGCTACCACCATGATGCTGGGTGTTTCATTGCAGCATAATTTTTACATGTGTACAAATTTTTCAATTCAAAGTATTTATAAGATTGCCTCCAATCCCTTTGCATAGCGCTTATATAAAAGTGAAATAAGCATTTAATAAACTTTAACCTGTGCCGAGCAGTATTGCCATGCTACATAAAATCTGGTAAGATGTTCCAGTTCTCGCTGCATCTTCTGATATTCCAGATATTGAGATCGTTCTTCATGCAATTTCTGAAGTTTTGGACTAATCTCTTCATTTACAACCTAGAACAAGCCAAATTAATTTACAGTAAACACAATGAATACTAGTACGTATATTTAAATTAATATTAGTCTGCCCAATCCAGCACATCAACTCAGAAAACCCAACAGAAGTAATATTATTACTTACTTTATTCATAACTGCAGAATATCTGGATATTTGAAACAACATGAATGAATATCACAATTATGTTTTTTGTTTTGGTGTTATGAAACCTATTACAAAGATTATAAGATTGCAGATACAAGAATAAATACCTGCAGACAGATTGGACAAATGTCATTTTATGTATTAAATTATATGTGACTGCCAAGTAAAAACATGATACACCAAGCTGATTCCAAAAGTTGATCAATTTTTAGGATTGCAATCTAATATATGGACTTACACAGCTTTTATATACCATCACCGCTGGGAATAACATTTCTTCATCTATATTCATATCCCATACCCATTAACTGGCCTCTAACCCCATTAATTTGGACCTAAAGAATTCAATGTGTAGATTTTGTATGCTTCTCAACAATCTCATTCATGTAACTTATGAACAGTGGAGACAGACAGGGTACACGTTGAACTCATTATTGCTATTTTGTATCCTGAAATTATTAATAGTGATGACTGTACAGCCTGTTTTGTATAACCTATAATTTAGTAAAACTATGATTTTAGCCGTAAGTTCACGTATAAATTGTTTTTATTCATATTTCTATACATTTCTGATAAATCAGTAAACATGATTTGTAAGAACATTCCAAAAATTAATTCCTCCTTTACTTTACTGGAAAAAACATCTGACAATCCAAGAATCACTGTTCCCGGGAAAGTACCAACTACATTAACACCAGGGTGGGGGGCTATATCTGATATGAAATTAACATTCAGGTCAGTAATGAAGTATGGCTAACATCACTTGAGCTTTTGAAAGACAGTCCAAGATTTGTATTCTGCAGGTGAGTTCCCAAAATTTATTAAAATATGTATTAACATTAGCTACCATATATCTCAGTTTGAAATGAGATGAGAAAGCATAAGTCAATAAAATTTGTTTCAGACACTCCTTTATACAAAGTAGTACTGCAATGTGTGTTTTGTACCAAGAAGTACAATTCTATACTTTACTTATTTGCTTCTATAATCTAGCTAAATACTACTACATAAACACACATTACTTACTTTATCAATCTTTTATCCGATTTACGGAAGAAACTAAAACAGCGTGGGTTACTAAAACACATTATAACCCTCATCTTCACACATAATATTCTAGCAAGCATTCAGTATCCTAAAACATGGCTAGATACAGCATAACTTCGTATCATATAGCTTAAAGCTGCAAGAAAACTGTTACAGAAGGAATGAAAGGTATGTAACACAACAACAAAAACCAATTTGTTCACCCAAATGTGACTCATAGCTTCAGCTTCTTTATGAAGTGTTATTTACATTATTACTGAATATTATTTGCCATAATCTAATGAATGGTCTGTATCATTCTGTGCATAAAGTAATATTTAATAAGTTTTAAGCACTGATGTTTTAAAATAGCAATACCGCATTTAATTCATTCAGTTTTGCATCCTTTTTCTCAATTGTCTTCTGGGCTTGCTGTTTTTTACATTCATACATTCTAGTACCCGCAGCTTCCTCGATCATTGCAAGAATCTGTAAGAAGGAAAAGGCAAAGTTCAACAATCAATAAACATTTCAGACTGCATAGCTATGATGCCCTGATGACGGAGGCAGTATGACCTCTGAAACGTTGGTTAACATCGACCAGACTACACGGCGCAACAACCCAGAAGACAGAAATCTTCAGAAACTAAACTACTATTATTTCTACAACTTTTAAAATGGAAACCCCATGTGTCATATACCAAAATCCAACAAAGTATACGTCCTGAAAAACTAAGTCTCTGTATGTTTACAGAGACATTAAATAGTAAACATCACCCAGCCTGTAGCTAGTCACTACACTGGCTGAGCTACCTGGTTCATGATGAGGCTGGTTAATATTAACAAAAATATATTTTCAATTTTTGTATAAAATGTGCTTGGTAAAATATGCTTTGTACAGAGTCTTTACATTTTATTAGCATGAATATCTAGCTTCAAAAAGGTCTCAATTCAGATCTGAATTTGGGGCATAGAAGAAAAAAATATTTCCATTGCAGACTCACGCAACACTTATAAGGATACAGTACTTCATACCTGAAATGTTAGATGTTTATACAAAACAGACAAGAAATAACAAGACAAAACTTTGGCTACAGATTACTTGCTGAAATTACATCAGAAGATATACTACTGCACATATTATATTCAAACTGATGGTTACAAGGGAACCCAGCAACTACATAATTATATATATGCTCAGCTTTATTAGCTAACCCTGACTGGCATCATAAATGTTAGCCAAGACCATGGAACTATACAAAATAAGAAGTTCAAGTCATAAAGTTATAGCCTTCATTAACATAAATACAAAATTCGTCCCATGAAAAAAGAGAGAGAAAAAAATAAAACTTTATGTAAGTACCTCTGGTGGTTTCATATTGAGCACCTTTGTGATACGTCCTTGCATTATGAGGAAATGCGGATTGTTCACATTGAGCTGAACTGAGCAGAACAGATCCTTCACTCGATTATTCTGGACATTGGAACCATTGATAAGATACTTATTCTTGCCTCCTGTCACAACCTGAAAATAACAAAACATTGGACATCTGCAGACCTAGTCCTTTGTACATTCAATTTATGTTCAAAATAATACCTTTTATGGCTTTCATTGAGATAGAGAAGTATTTGCAGAAATTGAAAAAAAAAAACTGGTATAATACCACGAATTTTGCATCAATATGCACACAGATAGAAGTAAATACACATTTCCTATAATTTAGAAGCCACCTAGAAAAGCTATGAGCCAGTATATATCAGAAATGGAAAAAATATTTTTGGCATGCATGTTACAAAACAAAATACTTATTTTCATAAATAAGACCGAAAATGAAGAACATCAACAACAGGTAAACATACAAAACATGCAGAAAATTCTAGGTACTCTTATGAAAACTTTAGGCACAGTGGTGACCTGGCAACCCATATTTGTGCAGGCCTGTGTGTATATGAACTGAAATTTGTAAATTGAAAAAGTAAAAACCATAGTCAGTATAGTGACTGGCTACAGACTGGTTGACCAAGGTTTGATCCGCGGCAGGGGCAGAGGATTTTTCCCCTATCCTATGTCCAGACAGGCTCTGGGGTCCACACAGCCTCCTATCTAATGGGTAATGGGGTCCTTTCCTGAGGTAAAGCGCAGTCGGGGCGTAATGCTGACCACTCACCCCTATCTAGTGCTGAGGTTAAGAATGGGTAGGAACTATAGCTCCTCCCCCCATAAGCGCCTACATGGCATATAGTGGGACAGCTTTCCTTTTTTAAGCCATTTTAGAGAGCATCCAGGGGAGGTGGAAGTATCCTATCACCATTGTGTATAGGCTAAACTAAATCTACCAATATGACAAACTCAAAATCTGCAAGTCAATAAAAATTATATACCATACACCATTTAAGAATGTTTAAAAATTAAAGCATCTGAAAACAACACTAACAAACACAGCTCACGATGAAATCAGGAGAACAAATTCTGCAAAAGCGTATTACCTTTAGTTTGAAAAATTATCATCCTGTCCAATGTAAGGGCTGAGTAAGAAAAGTAAGATGTAGATGAAAAAAATGTAATAACATCTTGAAGAAAATTGAAAGCATTTCTCATTTGAACAGCAAAAATTGCACTGAATGGATAAAGTAAAGATAAAATTACAAAGAGAATCTGTACAAATAAAATGTTTTAACAGACTGTGAAGATGGTACATAGAACCGCATAATTTCAGAAAAGTTTGGAAGAACGAGGTGATACATTCATCCAAAACTTTGGGAACCACCTAGATGATCATATGGTGTCAAAAGACAGAAGACCATAATCAACGTCTACTAATTTGGATATGGACTAAGAAAGTTGTCAATAGATTACATACAGTTTCTAAGGGAAAAAGAAATTTAATAAATTAAAATGAAAGCTGAGTCCATGTAGTGAAACTGACAAAAAACATAACAAAGGAAATTTAACACTGTGATAACAAAACCTGAAGGTCCAACACTGCTTACACCAAAGGCCACCACAAAACATGATCCTGTGTTAGATTCACAAGCCCCAATCAAGTACTGTAAATCAATATCAATAAGTCTCAATTGTGTGTTCACTCTGTGGTAGCATACTGGACTTGTATGCTTGAGGTCATCAAATCAAAACCAGAACAAGTCAATTCTCTTCCTTGTAGCTGACAAGTTGTTTTATATTATATTATATAATATAAGGAATTACTTTCCCAAAGTTCATATTTCCCAAAAATTCATAACCTCTTATTGCTGTATGACCTTACTGCAAGTGGCACTTATGCTTATTCCACCCCCCCCCTCCCCGGCCATACTGGCATTATCAACTGTAAGAAACTGAAAAGTATGATTTTACAGATGATACCAATGATATAATGTCACATAAAATGTCATCTAAATGTGTCCAGCAGTTATTGAGTTGAATCACGCAGACAGAAGATAAGCCATGGTCAGGCTTACATGCATTCTTGTCATGCACATCATACAGAAAGAACACATAAAAAGTTGTATACTCCTCAGAGAATTTCAGGATACAACAATGCTGGTATTTTAAGCCACCTCAAAATTTTGTTGTGCTGTTAAAGGCAAGGATTTAAAAACCTCATTCAGAGAACCTTTCAATTGCATGCCATTAAGAATGGGATGCATGCAAACACAACACCTGAATCAAAAGTTACTTAAGAGCATATAAGAAGAATATTTTGTAAACCTTACTCGCTTTACTTTCTTGTCTTCAGCCAAACAACAAAAGTACATCTTACCTGTCTGGTAACTGTTATCTCTTCATAATGTTCATATCCAAATGGACTCTGATTCCTGTCACGGTTGTCAAAAGTTAGAGTAACACTTGCTTTGGTAATGCCAGCCTGCCCTCCTTTGTAAACCAATTCTTGTAAGCTTGCAGCACGTACCTTCCAGGGTTAAAGCAACAAAATACATGTACCACACTAATCAAATCTTGGCACGCGCACGCACAAAATGGGATATTTTATTTTTGTTATTTATAACAGTGATGCAAAAGTGGAAATTTTCTGGTGTGGCCCATATGATAATTTTGAAAATGGTGACAGAATGTTTCTATAAAATGTTGATATCTACCTACAAGTCCACATGACATCATAGCACAGAACATCACTGCCATGAGAACCTTAAATCTCAGATAAAAATATTAAGTTTCAAATAATATTTCCAAAATATTTTAAAGCAATATATACCTTACATGCTATTCAAATCAGAAGCATTTAAGTGAGATTTCAGGATCTCACAGCAACAAGTATGAAGATGGCTGTCTTCCAGACTACATGGTGCAATATCCCAGAAGACATCTTAAAAAAATATTTACATTTGAAACTAAAAATAAATGCCATATTTATTGAAGCACATATTTTATTGGCAAATGCTCATGTTAACATTCCATTACTACAATATGATCAGGATAACAGGAAGCTCTTGTTTAAACACTGATGTCAACAATACTTCACGATTTTCTGTGTGAAAACTTGATCTCTTTAGACAGCTACAAACAATTTTCCTTTGCCAGCTTCAAGTGTGATATTTTTTGACTGTAATAATATTGGTTTAAAAGTAGATTTCACACTTCTGACTAATGCATGGCAAAATTCAAACAGAGAGGTGATACAGTGACACAACTGTGAACATTTATTAGCAGTTTTTCTTTCAATAGACAAGAATACCCAAATATTATTATTTAGTTAATGTGATGACAACAGAATGTGAAATATGTCACAGTAATACAATATTTATAAATGATACAAACCTTTCATTAATTTGAGTTTCTCTATCATATGAGATTTGGTGGTGAAGTCTTTTGGCTTGCAATGCCATATTGTCTTGTAGGTAGGTGATACCACATACAAGACCATAGTAACAAATGACTTCTGCCATATACATTTTTGTGTATTGCATTCCTGAATGTATATTCTGTACAACAAAACCGAAGCCCCCAACCAGAAGCTATCATAATTTCCTTGTATTTGTCCATATGTGGCTTTTCCATACCTCCCATTGCCTACAATTATCTATGACCTCACAACATTAACACATTCATAAATTTAGCCTACATAACATTACAACATCTAAGACTGGCAAATACATAACCCTGACATGGTTTGGTTTGTGAAGTAGTATCGTTTGGAGTATCTTCGTTTGAATTGCTGCTATACAATCAAAATTAAACTTTATATAGCAACGAGAGAACTCACAATTAATTGTGTTCAAGCAGACATTACCTACCTGTACCAAATTAGTTATGCCGAGAACAAAGCAGATAGCATCAAGGATATTAGATTTACCACTACCATTTAATCCAGTTATAGCGTTGAATTGTCGGTCAAATCCATTTATTTCTGTTCGATTACCATAAGATTTAAATCCATCAAGAACCATAGACTTCAAGTACATTTTTATGAAGCATGTACGCCTCGTACTCCGCAAAATAAAATGCAATTACACTGCACAGGAAACCTCCATCAATAAGCTCATTTATAACTAAATAACCGCGCCAACATTACTTCTGACGAGCGCTAACCAACGACAGGTAATACCAACATCGCTAATACCCAACTATGTACTAACTGAGCAGTTGAAACACGAGAGTTTCTTAGCGACATCTTTCATAACCATTATGTACTTTGTTCAAGTAACTAAAGCGCTGCTGATAGATGTCGCAAATGTTTCTTGCCCCTCCACCAGATGAAATTGTCAACACTGAATCTGAAATTTAAAC